GTGAGCGCCGCGCTCCTCATCCCCAAGGAGGACGGCGTCATCACGGCCGGCGAGGACAGGTGACCCGGGGCCCGCTCCGTGCCGGGCAGGGCCGGGCCGTGGGGCTGGGCTGGGAGCCGCGGAAGCGGGGGCTGCAAAGGGAGATCCGTGTGTGCGCTGTGCCTTTGCCGGGAGGCGCGCAGGGACTCGGTTCCTGCAGCCGTAAGGAGATCCGCGGAGCCGCGGTCCCAGGGAGGAAGATGCCATCAGCTGCGAGGGAGGACTGGCTCGGCCGGGCCGGTGCGGGACGCGGGGCTGTCACTTTCCCACCGGCGGGGAGAAGCCGCTGTGCTCCGTGCGCGCTGTCCTGCCCCTGCGGAGCAGCTGGAAAAGCACAGCTCGCCCTGGGTGTGAATGGGTCCTGCAGAGGTTATGAGCAGAACCAGGAGTGAGGGAGTATGTTTCCCTCGGCCTTCCGCTCTGCTGGCTGAAACACTTGCGGTGTGTCACTGCTTCCCTTGCCTGACGGGAGAGTTGGAGCTGCCCGAGCTGCTCCGGTCGGAACGAGCCCATTCTGATGGCTCGGTGTGCTGGTTCCAAACCTGCGTCCCTGTGGCTGAAGCCGCTCGGGGACTGAATTGGCACATCTGAGGGGAGAGGGGTGATGAGCTGCTGAGCACGGTGCTTTCTGCTTGGAAGGGAAAGTGTCTAGAGTTTAACCCTGGTTCTCGGCGCTGGCTCGCACAGCATGCGAAACGTGTGCCACAAGCTGGCAATGTCGTTAAGCAGCCAGATGAGCTCAGGTGAAAGTGGAAATGAGGAAGCAGGTAGTACAGAGGGTTGTGGTCATGAGAGTGGTGAGGGGTCTACAGTGTATAGCGAGAGATGTAATTTCGCCCGTGCTATGTGGAAAGTGATTTTTAAATGTGAAGAGGGGTGGGAGATGCTTCTTAAGAAACTGTGGCTCCGTTTGACAGAACGATGTTAAAGGTACAAAAGTGCATTCTTTAAGGTGTAGCTTGGTGCAGGGCTAATTTTACTGTTATACTATGAAACTTCTAAAATTAAATTTGCATTAATATTTGCATGAATATTTGTTTGGAAAGCTTGACCTTGTGAGAAATAGGAGGGTATGAGTGCTTAGAATCGGCAGAGTAATGGTATTATCTGAATTGGGTTTTCTGCAATTTATTTTTAGGTCAGAAAGTGCAAACAGATGAGCTGTGTGGTTATTTCGTGTCATCCCTTCCTATGGAGATGGCTTTGTGCAGTACATGTTGGATAACAGCTTTTGGATGGGAATGGGCAGCTTCCTTTCCTTCCAGTCACTTAGGTGTGATTGTGTTTGTGTTCAGATTGCTTTGATGGGCTTCCTGAAGGAGAGAAGAGGAAACAGTGATTTTTAAGATTGTGTATTAGAGTTCAGCCTTCACAGAGTTTCATGGTACAGGCTTGCAGAGGCTTGCCTGTGGCAGACAGTGGCAGCGTTTAAACTCAAGGTCTAATGCCGAAGGTTAAGCAGTCTGCATGCTTAGACTGCTGATAAGAGCCAAGGATGGAGCTGCATCTTTATCTGGGCGAGCTCTGATGTCAGATACAGACCTGTGCAAGGAGAGCAGAGGCCACCACCCACCTTCGGTGTGTGTAATTTCAAAGTGAGTATGAGGACTCGTGGCTGAATTTGTGGCACCCACCTTTCTGTGAGAAATTACTTAAATCTTTAAACTTTCAGAAACTGTTGCACTCTATTACCTTTAATTTGGGATACCTCCTACAGTACATCAAAGCTTTCACCTACAGTTCAACGTGTTGTCAAACAGTGCTCCCCTGTTTGTTCACTACAAGTGGGGTGTAGGTGTTAATACTGTGAAACTGATTATGCTGCTGGCAAAGTGCAGAGTACAAGGAGCAAAAGAGCTGCTGTGTTGTGTACTAAGAGCAGAGCTGAAGTATTTTTTATTACATCTTAATGCAGCTAAGGCTGTCAAGTATTTCATAATAACCAGTCAGAGGAATGTGTTTACAAGTTGGGTAGTGAGGAAAACATTGGTGCACAAACATTCTCTGTGAATGTTGCATATTATTCTCTTGTTAGAATTACTCATTGTAGTTCTTTCTATTTTAAATTATATTTCCTAGAATGGAAAGTAATGGTTTTATTTTTCAGAGGATACAAAAAATTTCATAGTAGATCTATGAATGCCAACAAAATTCCATTATTTTTTTTTTAATTTTAAAGATGAAAAAAGAAACAGGAGTACCTGCAGGAGACAAAGAGTTAATTTCCACAATCGGATGTTTCAGCAGGACACTTGCCATCTGTGAAGCTTTCTCAGAACTTATCTAGAAAGGATGATTAACTCTGTGTCCCTGCTGGCATCTTGTCTGACCCTGGCTGCAAGACAATGTTGGGAATTGTTGCAGTGTGTCCCTCAGCAGACAAATAGCTATGGCAAGAGGAGTGTTTCCCAGCTGCAGTTGGGAATGCTCAGAGATGATAAGCTGTGTACAAGACCCTAAAAGCAAGATGAAAGTAATGTATTTACTACATGCTAACAGGAGCTCTGGAGTCACTGGCACATTTCAGTGCTGGTGTTTGGTGACCATTGTAGCTGCTTAAAGTACAGTATTAGCTTTTGTTGTTTTTTTGCTTATGAAACTTAAATATTGGTCAAAACATGTTTTAGTTTTAGCAGAAATTTGATAAAAACTATCAGCTGTGTCTTTGAGCTTCCATTGCACTGCAATTAAACCAGATTCCTAATGTTGTTTTGGGAACAAGGTCGATAACAGTATAAATATTTTTTATTTAGTTAAACTACCAGAAAGAGGCAGAATTCTGTCCTTGCTAGGAAAACAACTGTCAGTGCTTGATTTTGGGTAGGAAAGCAGCTGTTGGTGTTTTGAAGGAGTTAGGAAGATGCAGTGGGAACAGGGCTGGTGTAGCTGTGTAGTAACCTTGCAGCAGTGTTGTTATTGTAACAGGTTTGGATTTGACTGCTGGTCTTTCATCACTTCTCCCTCCCTGGCACCTGTGCTGTTGGTTTGCAGGGGGCAGGAGCACAGGGGCTGTTGGAACATAGCATTGTCTCTGCTCTTAAACCCCAAATTTTTCCTCCAGCACTGCTGAGGAAATGAACTCTGTAAATGAAACAGCAATTGAAAACAATAAAAACTCTTGGAAATTGGTAAAGCCACAGTCAGTGTTGCTTGAAGATGACTTTTGAATGTCTTTCCTTATATTACATTAAAAAATCCTATGTCAAAACTCCTTTGAATTGTGTTTGTATAAATGTCTATGCTGCCCAGCTGAAAGCAGCTTCTGGTTCAATATTGAATGTTAGGGAAGTTTGGAGGTAATTTTTAATCTTTTATTTTTAAAGTATGGCTTCCTCCTGCCACTCTCAGAGACCTGAGTCTAGAATTTAAAAAGTCTATATCTATCTCTGGGTGCTCCTTAATGAATTTCAGCATTTTTACATCCTTACTGACACTGCTGTCAAACAACCCGGTGTCTTTCTAGTAGGGAATGCTTAAGGATAAATGAGCTGTAGCCAGCTCTTTTCAAGTACTGAGCACAGGATTTGTCATTAAATAAAGACCAAGTTTTGAGGAAACAGCTAAAGGCTCTTAAGGCAGTTGTCCTAACAAAGCAATTGACTGGTTGAAGGAGATAGGTTGAAGGGAGCAGCATTACTGGCGGACTTCTTTTAAGAACTAGTATTTCACAAATTAATTTGTCCTACCATAAGGAGATGCATCACAAAAATAGGTCTGTAGGAGAGAGAATCAGGGAGAAGTGACATTTTGGCACAGGTCACTCGCTGACTACTGTGAAACGATCCCTTCAAATTTTGCTCAGTCAGAGCTTTATATAATTAGATATAAAGCTGTCTGACAGCTTTTGCAAGCATGAGGCGAGCAGAGTCTAAATCTTACTTAACCAAAATAAGAAGCTTTCAGAAGTTAATTTTGCTAACTCTTGCAGCTATTTGCTTAGACTCTTCGACTTCACTGAGGGACTGTACTATTGATGATCAACACAGGAGTTATGCTCCCATTAAATAATTTCATAGAAGAAATGAATCTTAGGTTTCTTTAGTTCAGTATAATTAACCACGATACGGAGAGGAAGCTAGGTCTGCTTTTGAAAAAGCAATGCATGATTTTGATCACCATGATAACTTATCATGTAATTTTTAAAAACAAAAAATAATTACATTACTTTGTCTAGAAGTGAAAGAGTTAAATTAGTAAGGATGGAAGCCACCATCTGAGATGTTCAGAATAGTTTGAGTATGATGGAGCTGCTTTAAAAAGCTTATAAAGGTGTGTAGGTGCTAACCTGTGCTATTAGGTTGGCATCATTAGGATGACTTGAAAACACTGTTTTTCCCATATTTCATGTTACCAAGAAGTAACAACTGCTCTTCTGAAGTGGTGACTTACTGACACTAGGCAGGCTGACGATTATTGTAAAGAGGAAGTGATAGCTTCTAAGAAACAGTCTTGATGCAAAATACTTAGTGGACTGTCTAATGTACATACACCCCAAAACTGGTAAAAAAGTAACTTGATTTAAAATCTGAAAATCATTGTTTTGGGGCAGTATATGCTCAGCTGTATTGCTTTCAAGTTTTCAAAAAGTAGTACATTAAGGGTGGGCATTTTCTTCTTTATTTTTGAGTGGTGTTTAAATAAAAGCCTTTAAGTGGATAGCAAAATTAGAATGCTACTGTTGTATCTTCAGCAGTAAAAGTTCTGAAAAGTTCTGGTTGTGTTGCAAGACACTGGTCCCCTCCCATGCTCTTTTTGTTTAACTCTTTATTGTTGATCCTACATGATGTTTAACTAATCAGTCCCCTAGTATTTTTCTAGAGAATTCTAAATACCAGAACTTTTATTAGCTAATTGCAAACAGAACAGCTCAGTGAAGCCTCTTGACAGTGTTTCCAGGTACATCTATTTACAGATCATTTAGGAATGAGGAAGTTGGATTTAAACAGTAACAAAAAGGCAAACAATGGTTTGGTTTGGAGAGGAAATATCAAGAGGACTTAAAATTAACCCTAACACAATCTTATATGTGTGCTCTTCTTGATGTAGAGTCTCTTTGATGTGTCTGTTGTTTAGTTGACAATAGCTTTCCACTTCCTTGCTGATACTCTTACATCCCTCCACCCAGGATTTGACAGTCATCAGAGTAGTAAAATGCTAAATATTCTCAAGACCACTTACCATTTCCCTCCAAGAGATGATTCTGGAAGACTGCAAACTAAAGCCAATTTTATAAAGAATCGTAGTGTTCTGTCCAAATCATCTTGTCAGCTTTTTGGCTTCCATTTGACTGGCTCATCATCCTGATCATATTTAGGGCAGAGAAGCAGGGGAAACTAACAGCAACTAATGTGGCTTGTCCTTTGCATTTCTAAATGAGGGATTAGAGGCATGGCTTAGAGGAAATAATAATGAGTTAGATATGCTGTCCTCTGGATATTCTTAATATCTGGGGATGGAGATGTCAGTAATGTACTGGTTTAGAAGATGAGGTGCTTCTGTTATTAATATTCTGTATCTGGCTTGCTGAAGGGTGAGTTACACAGAGATGCTGTAAAAATGAAAGGTTTGGACTTCCATGATGAAATAACTTGCAATTTTTTTTTTTTTAAATGTATCAGACACTTAATCTGCTATAAACAAACTGTGGTTTGCTTTGCAAAATATAGAAAGTTTCTGCAGTTTGAATTTGACTTACATAAACCAGAGACAAGAAGGAAGTAAAGGGGTGCAATTTACAGCAATTTCTGAGGTGAGCTGAAAGAGTATTTCCATTTCATACTTACTGAAACTCCATGTGTAAATAGTTTTGAAGAAAACTTTTCCAAATCCAAGGGTGCCTATTCTTAGTGCTAATCTTCTTGTTATGTTAGAGCAGTATTTGAGTGCTGTTATTTCGGTTATGTCGTTCCTTTATTATATTTGAGTAGCACAAAAGCTAAGGGGAGTGGAGTGATCCATAAGTAATGAAGTGGTTCAGATGCAAGGGATGATGCACTTACAGCTGGCTTCTCCCTGCTCTTCCCATGACACAGGACAATCCGAGTATGGCTGAAGAGGGACAGTGGGCAGTACTGGCCCAGCATCTATCACACCATGGCATGTAAGTACAATATGGATGTGGTAAGTGGTGGCCAGGCATAGTATGGGTTTTGTACCTGTGCTGTGTGTATGAATACCTCCTTCTCATTTTCCCAAGGGCTGGATTTCCTCAATGATTTTGATTTTGGGAGCTTTGCAGCAAGTCTAGCTCAGACTTTGATTTAAAACTAGCTGCATGGTGGGTGAGATCTGTGGCAGTGTTGTCAGAACCACATCCTTCACCAGATAAATCATTGTGGATCTGCAGCTGGAGTTGCCTCAGATGATGGCAAATAACTTGTATCCCAATTATGTGAGTTTTCTAATCACTAACTGAAAGTTGAGACATAAGAATATTCTGATTTCCAAGGTGTGCATTTTTCTCTTTCAGATCTCCATTTGGAATCATTTTAGTGAGCTCAAGTTCTTAAGTGTAACTAGCTGTTGCTGTTAGCTCAGCTTTCAGCCCGTGTAAAATTCCTCTTGCTAAGTTGCACCTTGTGGCAGGAAATCACGTTTGCATATGATTGCTGTTGGTATATCTTGAGTTACAGTAGTCATGTTCCTGTCCTCAGCTTCACACATGGGAATTGAATTGTCTTTCCAAGGGATGTTAACTATGCAGACTAGTTTCTATCAAACTACTTAAACAGCTTTTGTCCTGAGTGAAAGAACTGACTTTTATTAAAGTCATGTGTATCCTAATACCTCTATTTAAATACTGTAATGTACTTGCTTTTTTGACAGCACCATGTTCTGCCATGGCTTATCATCATGACAGCAGACGGATATTTGTTGGCCAGGATAATGGAGCTATCATGGTAAGTTGCTGTGACTTTTCTTCTGAATGTAGGTTAGAATTGTCCATGTGTTACTGGCAGCTGATAGCCTGTTTTCTTTCCATTCATTTTGGAATGCAGCTACTGGTAAATGGCTGAGCTCCTTGGAAGTTCAGCTGAGATTTATGTGGGAGGACTGCAAAGTAAAGGTTCTTCTGGCTGAATGTGAGCCAGGTAGCCCCAATGAGCCCCATTAGTGCAGCAATGGACCCAAACAATTACACTTTGCCAAGAAGCTTCTTTTGAAGGGAGAGCAGTAAGCTGGGCAGAGTGCCATGGTGGTGCTCTGACAGGGCTTGTGAACTGCAGTTGATTTGCCCCTGGCCAGGAGTATGGATCTGTGTATCCTGCCATGCACACACCTCTAGATTTGCTTGCTGCAGATCTTTTTATGATGTAGAAATTTCAACACTAGCTCTAAAATTATAAGAGGCTGGGTTCATCTCTTGCTGGGAATTCTTTCTTCTCTCTTTCTATACTCTTGCTCTAACTGCTGTCCCTGTCTTGGAGAACATACACTTGGCAGAACAGAAACTGGGTTTTATTCTTCCCCACCTTGGTAAAGGAGGGGAATCTTGTGATTCTCAGATGCTTTAATAGTTTCCTTTCTCTATGAAAATAAGGTCAGAATAATAACTGCCCCATAAAGAGACAGGGTACTGCATGAATGTCATAAAGAGTGATTCTACAGATAACTACTATGAATAGCCTACAAAGAACTGCATAGAATTCTAGTGACAACTACTGGAAATTTCAAGTTGAGACTTCTAAAATGTCATTAAGTCTAATGGATCAAATAAAGAGCTCTGTCACTTAAAACTGTCTATTGTGAAATCACAAAAGTGCAAATCCTAAGTACTACAAGGTACAGTTTTGTTTGCTCTTGCTGAGGACAAATGAGATCTTATATCTTCCTATTGTCTCCCTTCAGCAAATTCAGTTCTGAAAGGATGTTCCCCATTGCAAACTCAGTTCACTTAAAACCTTAATTTACAGTTGGTATTTCAGTATACTTTGCTCCAGCCTCAGAAGCTGCTTGTTTTTTTGTGGGATATATTGCTGCTATGCAAATTTTGGTCTGGGAGGCTGCTGCTCCTTTTTTGGTATCGATGTTGCTTTATGACACTGTGGTATCTTCTAACAATTTCACTTTGCTTTTAGGAATTTCATATTTCTGAGGACTTTAATAAGATGAATTTTGTGAAGACCTATCCAGGTAAACTGTTAACCATTATCTACACTAACATTTGTGTAAAGGGAAGGTATATGCAATGCTTGGGAAACTGGACACAGTCACAGGTGTGATTTAATCAAATCCAGATATGCTTTAACTCTGATTAACCTTAGAGTTGTCACTTAGTTGAAGGATAACTGCCATAAGAAAAATATTGTTAGACAGCTGAGTCCAAGTTGTAGTCATTATCATTAAGTTCACTACATTATTAGTCTGCAAGTGTAATGAGCCAGAACCAGTGAGCTCAGATTTTGCTCTTCAGATGGAGTAGTTGTACTACATGAGTGTTGGTGTAAGAGCTTTCTCTAAAGGTGCATTTTGGTATTTGCAATCTCTGTCCTTATTTCTTGTAATCAATGGGCTTGGTTACTTCTAGCTCAAGGTAAGAGTCCTTACCTTCTCTGTCATCCTAGGAGAGCAACAAGGATGAAAAAGAGCTTATTTTTCCAATATGTGGGAAACAGGGTTTGTGGGATTGTTCTAATATTCATAGAAATACTAATTTCAGCATTTGTCTACACGTCCTTTAGAGAAATACAAAACTCAATTGTTGGTTAAAATCGTAGTATTTATGTGAAAGGCCTGAAGGAAGCTCTTAAAGACTGCAGATTATGTAGCAAAACAAAGTACAGTTTGTCTTGTGACTCCCTGACACCGATAGAAGCAATGTTCTTGCTTGGGAGAAAAAGACCTTGTTCTTAAAGCAACAAAACTTCCCTTTATCCTAAGGGAGATGATTTGACAATTCAGTCAAGGGAAGTACTTAGATCTTGGGGGGCAGGGGAAGCTTCTTTCTAAAGCACGTGTAACTTCTTGCTTAGTGTCAGCATTCTCAACAAAGGTGGGTGGGATTTGGTTACTGTCACAGGAAGCAGTTTGAATGCCATGGACTAGATACCCTTTCAGGTGCTTAGAATTATGAATGTGAGCATATCTCTCTGGGGCTAGGAAAAGATGCATTTAATAAAGCAATTCAAGTTTTTAGATGTGTTGCATTACTCTCCAGAAGTCCTGAGCTAACTAGAGGAAGCTAAGAGTTTGCCTGTTCCTTAACCTTGGATATCTGTGCTGAACTCAGCTGCTCTCTCTCTCTGGGAGAAAGGCTTTCATCAGCTGACTGGTGGGTTTAGTTCACTTGAGCTACTCAGAAGGCAAATCCTACACAGAACTATGGGAACCTTTTCTTTCAGCCTAGATGCAAGTATAATATAGTGGTAAAAGATCTCCCTGGGGCATTGCCTAGATATCATCTGCAACCTCAGTCTGTATGAATTATAATGGAAGTACACAGCACTTTGGTTTTTGGGGAAAAATATGCAGAACCTTTCTTTTCTAACAGCTCACCAGAATCGAGTGTCTGCTATTACTTTCTGCCTGGCATCAGAGTGGCTTATCAGCACAGGTCACGACAAGTGTATCAGCTGGATGTGCACCAGGAGTGGGAGCATGCTGGGGAGACATTACTTCACCTCTTGGGCTTCATGTCTACAGTATCCTTTAAAAAATGATTGCTTCCCTGAAGCTGGAAGAGTACTTTGTTCCTTTACCTCAATTTGTTCCCAACTTTTCATGTATAAAAACTGGAGTGACGTCTCTTGCAAGTCTGCTCACTCTTATTCTCATTAGAAGTTTAATACCTTTGTTTCTGTTAGTGGTTATTAGATAGCAGAAGAGACCTTGAGCTGCAGAAATCCTAGTCTGTACTAGTTCTTAATTTTGAGATGTCTGTCTGTAGCATCTTGTGGCAGTGACTGTTATCTATAGCCTGGCCCATAGACTTCTTGGGCAAGTCACTTTGTTCATAGACTTTTAATTTTTCTGTCTTTGCTAAAGTTAATATTTTCTATCTTTAAGCTACCAGGTACATTGAAACTTTATTCACCAGTACTAATTTTTCTGTGTACAATTTGCTTTCTGTAAACTACATTTAACTGCAGCATTTGCAGCTTAGTCACTCTGTCTACTCAGGTGTAAGTAAGTACTTCAGGGCATTCTTTTCCCTATGTAAAAGTAACTTGAAAGATAGTTCACATATCAAAGCTTTTGAAAGCAAGTTAAATACTTGAAATTCTGAAACTATTTTTTAGCACTTGTTAATGGTGGCAGTTTAGATGTGGTGGGACAGTAATTGAAGGTATTGGTTGCTGTGTGAGGTTTAATGACAATAATGTTTTAGAAGTAGCGAGATTCAAAAGCTGAAACAGGTCAACATCTCTCGAAAACATGAAGCTCTCTCTAGAGTGGCTGTATGCCTGTATCCTGGTAAGAAGCTGGGAGGAAAGCTCAGTTGCCAGCTGCACGTCTGGCCTTCTGAGGTTTCCTGTCTGTGCAGACCTTGCCTTACTGACTGCAGAGCTGTCAGGTTTGTAGTGTTGTACTGATGCTCTTTTTTAGAATCCAGGGGAGTTGTGTCCCACAAAACAATTCCATGTGCAGCTCACCTCAGCTGAATGCAACACAGAATAGGTTAAAGCTGGTTTGTGTGTTGGAGACCAGCTCACAGCAGTCTGGTGAACAATCTGAGCCCCACTGAAATCAGTGGCTTCTATAGCTAATGCTATTGCAAATAATGACACAGTTTATTATTAAAATGGAGAAAAGTTGTAATTGATCTGCCTTTGGACTTGTATTTGGAAGAGCCAGCTTGCTGGTGTGCTTGGCCTTGCTATCAGGAAGTATCCTTAGAAGTTGTTTGTTAATGATCCTATGTGTAAGCTTCTGAAAGACACAGCAGAGTGCCTATTCTTTACTGGATTAGTGGGGATAAGTCAAGCCTGAACTTCCAAGATGAAGAAAGGATCACATGTTCAGGGAGTTAGAGGATTTGTTGAAAGCAAATTGTTTATCTCAAGATCCCAAAGGCTTAAGTGATTTTGGAATGTCATCAGATGACAAAGCCTCTGCATTTTCACTTAGGGTGGTGGGCTTTTTGGTAGACTGTCTTTTTAAAGTTAGCCTTTTCTGTTGGATACCAGAGACTACTTTTCTAGCTGCTGCTTTTGGTTTTGTGTGGTTCCAGGAGGACACCTGAGTTTATACACAGCTCTTGGGTTATGTGTTATCAGCTGCATGGATCTTTTGAAGCTCTTGCTTATATTCTCAATAACAAAAGTCTTCTAAAAGCAGCAAATTATCTAGTCCTGTTGGCTTGCCATGCTTTGGTTTCTGGAGTTCACAGTTCCACTGTGGCAAAAACCAAATATCAGAACTGTTACTTGTCTGAACAGGACAAGAAATGAGACAATCTCACCTTGGCAGTAGCTAGAACATTGGGAGTGTACTTCCACAGTAAGGTGAACTTGCTATGGATGGTCAGCACCCTTGTATCTTGGTTTTCTTCTCCTGGGGGTATCAATCACTAACACTAGAAAACAAAAGGGTTTATTGGAGAAGATACTAGGTAAGACTGAATGCCACCCAGTGTCCAGTGAGGTGCTTCTAATGGTTGCAGAGAGCTCTGCACTGCAACAAGTAGCCTGATGAGATTTGGCATCTTTTAGAGAAGCATGAGTATGTCTGTAAATATCTGCTAGAAATGACCTGAAGCCACTTGGCTTGCCTTAAACCAGGGCATGGATTATCTCATGGCTTTCTCCAGTGGCTTTCTAAAGCTCTTCTCTTATTTTCTATACAGTTTGACTTGCACATGTAGGGAAGGGTGATGAGAAGGAGGGAATCAAAAAGGTTTATTACAGTCACCAACCACTTTAGACGTAATTATGTAAATATTTATCTGGCATATTAAAATGTTATTTTCCAATTTTTTTTGACTCTGTAGCCAACTGTTTCAGTCATGTAAAATACTCTTTGAACAAATGAAGCTTCTCCTTGACTCGTGTTCAGATATGATCATGAAACTCAGCATGCATTTGTTGGTGATTATTCTGGACAGATCACTCTTCTGTGGTGATTATTCTGGACAGATCACTCTTCTGAAGCTTGAGCAGAATACCTGTTCAGTTATCACAACCCTCAAAGGGCATGAAGGTAAAGTAACTCTTTGTCTTAAACCCACTTGTCCCAGATACCAGATATGGTAGGGGTGAGTTCAGTTGTAAGAGTAAGAGGGGTTCAGTTGCATATCTGCCTCTTAAAGGTAGATACTGGATGAAAAACCAGTCCAAGATAGTGGTCATCATAACCTGTTGAAATCTGTACTTGACTTCCTTTTAAAAAACAAATACATTCTTGCTGAAGGGAAATCTTAGCCTTATAAATACTTACAGGTATTTTTATTATAGATGAAAAATAAAAGTAAACATGTGTTCAGTTAAACACAGGTTATCCACTAGATGGCCACCTGTAAAAGCTTTAGTCTCCTTAACTTTGGAGAAACTGCGTAGTCTAAGGCTCATCCTCTGTAGTACAGCTGAAGTCCTTACATCAAATGAAGAATCAACTAGTCTGTGACATGATACAGAGTCACTGTCTGCTGCAATGAGTAAGGCAAGAAAGCAAA